CTCAAAGTCCTCAAACCCCGGGGGCTGGTCAACATACACTTCTTCTTGAATAAAACCATTGAGGAAGGCACTCTTAACATCCATTTGATAAAGTTTAAAATCCATAGACGAAGCAAAAGCAAGAAGTAAACGAATAGCTTCTAAACGTGCTACAGGTGCATACGTTTCTTCAAAATCAATGCCTTCTTCTTGATTGTAGTCTTTAGCTACGAGCCTAGCTTTGTTTCTAGTGATTATTCCATTTTCATCAAGTTTGTTACGGAACACCCATTTCGTACCAATAATCGTACGATCATCGGGCCTTGGCACCAATTCCCAAACGTCATTCCATTTGAATTGGTTTAGCTCCTCTTGCATAGCCAAGGTCCAATGTTCATCGTTTATTGCTTCGGAAATGGTTGTAGGTTCAATTTGAGATACAAAAGCCATGTGTCCTACGGTGTCCCTAAGAGAGTTACGAGTACTTACCCCGCGGTTGATGCTGCCGATTACCTGGTCAAGTGGATGGTTTCTGTGCGTTCTCCAAGCGATGGGAAGCTCGGTTTCCTCTTGTTCTTGGGATTCCTCTTGTTCTTCTTCGTTCGCTTGGTCCTCATTTTCGACCATCACTTGAGGTGTTTCCTCTGGTTGTGGTTGCGGGTTGGTGTATAATGGCGTGTCTTCTTCGTCGTCTTCAATGTGTACTCTCTCTAATGAATCTGCAAGATCATCACAAATAGCCTTTCTCGCCAAGCGAGTATTATCTTCGGAAAATACAATATGAGGGGACTCTTCAATAGTCAAAGTACGTTTATTAAATACTCTATAGGCCTTGCTGCGAAGAGAATAACCAAGAAAAATCCCTTCGTCCGACTTGGCATCAAATTTTCCCAAGTTATCTTTGCCGTTATTATGAATAAAACATTTGCAACCAAAGACTCGAAGATGGGAAAGGTTTGGCTTTCTCCCTTTGTATAGTTCATAGAGCGTTTTCATGAGTATCGGTCGAATGACGGCTCGGTTTAACACGTAGCTCGCGGTACTCACGGCATCCGCCCAAAAATACTTAGGGATTTTTGCCTCATTGATCATAGTTCTAGCCATCTCTTCGAGACATCTATTTTTACGTTCCACCACTCCATTTTGTTGTGGTGTACGTGGGGCTGAGAAGTTATGATCAATGCCAAGTTCGTCACACAAATCTGAAAACAGATTTCGTTCGAACTCTCCCCCATGGTCGCTTCTTATGGCTACTATGGTTGTTTCTTTTTCATTTTGAACTTTCTTTAGAAAATTTTTGAAAACATGAAATGCTTCACTTTTATGAGTAAGAAACAAGGTCCATGTAAACCTAGAGTAGTCATCGACAATCACAAACGCAAAGTAATTGCCACCAAA